GTTGCTGTTGCTGTTGCTGTTGCTGGTACTGTTTTCAAACTAGGACTAAATGGCCATGTCATTGTGGCAGTCCGTGTGTAAAAGACGATGGTTCGATGTCACATTTGGTACAGCAGCCCAGAAGGAGTGACAGTGAGTCGTGTGCTGCTATTGCTGCTGAGCTACTGAAGCAAATCGAGTTGCGATTATCGATTATGTGTCGAGTCCCAGATTCTTCTGGGACAGCAGCAACTAGAGAGAAAGGGCAAAAAGTGTTTGTGTGTGTGACACGAGTTTTAAAAAGCGATTGCCAGTCTATTTTTATTACAAACTGTGTTCATCGCAGCAACAACAACAGCAGCAACATCGGCATCAGCAGCTCTGACATTCACCTTCGATTAGTTTCACCTGTCAAACGGTGCTGTTGTTGTTGTTGGTGCTGCTGCTGTTGATGCCTTTTCATTCATTGATTGCCTACTACCAAAACGCATTTGCCGGCTTGCCTGGCACACGACGGGTTTTTGTTTCAGTGCACATAAGCGAACCAGAAAACAAAAAAGGGCAAATTTAGAATTACAACACAGCAAAAAATCCGGACAAAAGACACAAAAGTACACAGTGAAAAAAGGGAGCCATTCTTTGCCATGACAGGACATGGTCACTGTGCCCTCCCCCTTTCCCCCTACTCAGTTTTACTCAAAAACTTACTCAACTTCAGTACCTGCAGAAAAGTGGAGCACAAGAGATTGCGGCAGTCTGTTGTTGTTTTTCAACATTTTTGTGTCAGCATTTCTGTCGTGATGTGCGGCTCTTCTTTCTCTTCTTCTTCGTGTTGGTGGTTGTTCATATCTGGAGCAGCAGACTGAGACTGCATATTATTTTTTATATTAATCTAATTAGATTTGCGATAAGACCTTTTTGTGTGACTCAATTTGTTGGGACATTTTCCCTTCACCTTTTCTCGCCTTTCTTCTTCCTCCTCCTCCTCCTTCTTTTTCACCCACTGAGCTGCCTGGGTGCATTGTCATCGGCGCAATTAGTGTGCGGCAGTTGTCCTCGCTGCCTTTCCACACACACACATTCTCTCTTCAGGACGATAATGTGTCGAGGGCAAGCCCCAACAGTAGTGGAGGGTGAATGGAAAGCACGGCTGAATGAAGGAGAGGCAGTAATGCTCGTTGCTGAACAATGCTCTTGTATGATGGTGGTTAGTGCCGCATCCGCCGCATCTACTCTCCCCATCTCTTTCACTCTAACTGCTCTCCAGACAAATGTGCTGCATTAGGCAAAAATTTCACATTTTAACAAGGCATGTTGTCCAACCTGTCCGGTGGTACAACTGTGGAAAGCAGTGGAAGGCGCCCTTTTCACTTAGTTTTTCTCTATCTCATTTCGGTGGCCCAATTTTGCTTAAAACATTTGAGCTGTCTGTTTTTTGCTTTTGTTTGAAGCATGTTCTCAGCTTGCTCGATGTTCAGCGTGCCTGCCTCAGCCTGCCCTTCATACCTCATACCTCCTACTCATCCTCTTCCTCCTTCAAATTATCCTTGCTGTGCAGCAGTTTAATTAAGTTTATGCCATTATTAAATGGTTATTATTATTACTATATTTATTATTATTATTACTGTAACTACTACTGCTACCGATTATGACTGTTCCCATTGCTGCTGTACATCGTTCGACGGCAGAGAACGATTCATTGTCTAGTACTCTTTTGGTACTTTTTCGCCATTGAAAGGAGGCACCCTAGACATAGACACAAACACAAACACACATATTCACTTTGTGCTGCCGTTTCAGAATCAAAAGCATCAAGTCAGACACTGCCTTTGTGACTTGTACAATACGCAGTGTCAGCAACAGCAGCAGCAGCACTGTTCGGCCAGTTAGCAATACCGCCTGAACACTATTATGAATTCGGTGCATGTTGTGCTCATTATTATTAGTAGTATTATTATTGCAAATAAATAAACAAAGCTTTATTCAATTGGGACAGTGAATAGAATAAGAAGAAAAGAGATTCATTCGCCGTTGGCTGCGACAGTTTGTCGTTTGCTTTGCTATCTCTTTCTCTCGTTTTCCCTCTTTGGCCTAGTTGAGACTACTAAGACCACTAATTTCACTTTGTCAATTTTCTCTTTTCTGTTTTTCTTCTTTGATCCTCTAGGTGCAGTTTGCCTTCACTGGCCAAGCGACATGTGGCCATTGCCCGGCTGAAGCACGCCGCAAACATGGGCCGAAATTCGCATGAAGTCCGCTTTTTTGTGCTTGTGGTCACGCCGAGCAAGGAGGTAAGTGTGCATGCTTTGCAGTGTTCATCGTTTTCACGTTCTTTGTGCCTCAGTAATTATCAGACAACTTGCCCTTTTTGACGGAGACTTTCTGGCCTCCCTCACACACACTCTCTTTCTCTCCCTTGTTCATTGGCCAGCGGCGACTGCAAGTCCGTCTGTCGGACAGTGTGCCCTAGTGTGCCCTTCAGTGATGCCGGCGCTGTCTGATCACCGTGTTGCATGGCAGCTTATCTGCTCCATGGTGGTGGTGGCATCGGGTGCGGGCGCGCCTAATGGGCTCCTGAGCCGCATCAGTTGTACCATCGGCACTGTCAGCATCAGCAGCAGCGGCTCTCACTCTGGCACCCACACGGCAGACATTAATTAAATTTACAGGCTCAATTTGCCTGTGCTCATCTTTTGTGCTCTCTTTTGGGCTAATTTGCGAACCGCCAAGCAGAGTGGGGCAGAGGCGGCTGTAACGGCGGCTTCGGCAACGCCAGCAAAGGCAGCAAAGGCAGCGATGAGCCAGTGGTTTAGAAATGCTTGACAGTGAAGCCTAATGACCCACTGTGTGAATGGAAATGTGTGTCTGTGTATTCGGCTGCGGCGACGTTCTTCTTCGCACTCGTCGCACGTCGTCGGCCACGACACTGAAAATGTCGCTCCTTTTCTTCCTTTCACCCTCTCTCTTCTCACCCCCAATTTTGTTAGCCTGATTCAAGCTTGACGAAGCGAGAGCATGAGCAAATTTGGGCGTCACTTTGGTGGTAGGCTTTTTCTTCGCCTTTTTCTTCTTCCTTTTTTCCCATGCAAGGCAAAGTAAAGATAGAGGAAATGAGCGTATAAATTGATCGGCGACGGCAACAGCAGCAGCATCAGTGAATCGAGAAGCTGCAGCAATTGCCGCAGCATCAGCTTCACACAGAGGCTGCATGTCGATATTGCCCCCAGCTATTATCATTTGTAGTCATATTATTGTTATACCGTACAGTGCTAGTGTTCGCCTGTGTTCGGCGGTGCCGGTCTACCACTGACTAAGTGGAGAGAACCACACTGGCAGACAAACGGACAGGCAGGCATACTGTCAATTCGCTGGATGTCTGCTAAACAGGAAAAAGCAGCAGTTGCTGCTGTCGCCACCACCGACGTCGATGATGACGAAGACGACGTCGTCGTTGTGGTTGACGCTTTTTTCTTTGCTGCTGCAGCAGCTTTGACTACATCATCGGCCTGAAGTTAAGCCAAACCACCGAGGGAATAGTGCCCCGTTCAGAAAGCCGTCACCGAGAGAATCTGAGAGTTAGCTCAGCATCAACAGCAGTTGACTACTGAGGAGGCAAAGTGTCTCAGTTGTGTACTCCGCCGATGCTGCCACAGTGCACCAAGCTCTCTCCCAATGTTCACTTTCACTTTTACTTTCCGTTCAGTTTTGATGGCGAAATCGTTGGTAAATATTGTTTCCTAATTGACTGTACACGTTTCAGCTGCCAGCGAAAATGTCGCAACGCACATACACAAATACAAATACACACTAGGCGGTGGATGTGTGCAAAGCAGTTCAACATTGAATGAAAATGCAAAATGCCTACCAGTGCCTCTCAGCACTGCACTGGCATAAGTTGGAGTCTCACATACACTCTTTTTCTCTTACACTTTTGCCTTCTTCCTCTGCGAGGGCATGACTTTATGTCACCAGCAGTCACCAATTTCTCCAATTTTTTAAGCAGTGGTAGTGGTGGTGGTGGTGGTGGCGGCGGCGGTGCTGCAGTTTGTAGAAGTAGTTGTAGTAGTAATAGTCTTGAATGGCAAGGTTTTTGATGGCAGCAAGGCCGTTGTTAGTGGTGGTGGTGGCTGAAGGGTAGTCGACAAAAACGACGAGGTTGGCCTGATTGTCTAAGTGCAGGCGAGCAGGCAGGCACTCGCTTCACAGTGTGATTTTCATTTTTCTAATGTCTCGATCGATAGACACAGCCACCACCACCACTAGAGCTGGCTGCGACAGTGCAAAGTTCTGCATTGATTACGCCCGTGGCAGAGCCACTGTGCAACGCACTCATTCACTCACTCTGTTTGCTGCCTCGATGGCTTAACATTTGCATGAGAAAACGAAAGAAGCGACGGCAATCGTCGCCCGTCTCAGAGTACGCAAAAGATGAGGACGGGGCTAGTCAATTGCCGGCGCGATTGGGTACACAGAGACACTCACTCACACACAACTGATGATGGAATTGGGCTAATTTGAAGACAAACACCAGCGCACTGCACTGCCGCCATCACCAGCAGACTGAATGAAGCTGACTCTAATGTAGATGCCGCAAGCAGGCAGCCATTTGGCTGGCTTTTAGCAAATCATCATCTTTTGCTGTTGTCACCCGTTGTCGCCGCCTAGTGCAATCTACCCCCCCCTC